TTCGATTCCGGTCAAGGGCATGGACCTTGGTTGCGGGCACATCCCCAGTAGGGAGTGTGCAGGAGGCAACTGATCAAAGTTTCTTGCTCATCGATGTTTCTAACTCTCTATCCCTCTCCCTTCCTCTCTGTAAAAAAAATCAATAAAATATATTTTTAAAAAGGAGGAAAAACTAAAATGCAGCCCGTACTGTATCACATGACATTGGCCCAAGAATGGCCCGTCGTCGGCCAGCCCATCGTGTGTGTGTGTGTGTCCTGACTCGAGACGGAAGCACAGAAGCACGTGCACTGCAGGCCTGGCAGCCAGTGCGGCCACATCAAGCCGCACCTAAGATAACCCAGGGCAAGTTCAGGGAGGGCCCAGCCCTGACAATACACAGAGAGAGAGCCGGCCGGCGCGGCTCAGTGGTTGAGCACCGACCTATGAACCAGGTCACGGTTCGCTCCCCGCTCAGGGCACGTGCCCAGGTTGCGGGCTCGATCCCCATGTGAGGTGTGCGGGAGGCAGCCGATCCATGATTCTCTCTCATCGTTGACGTTTCTCTCTCTCTCTCTCCCTCTCCCTTCCTCTCTGAAATCAATAAAAATATATATCTGCTGACGGGCGGGGGGAGGGAGGGGGATGTATGCAGGGAGCAAAGGACACTCTCCATTCTTCACGGAGCCGTGTGAAGAGCACTCAGCTCAGCCCGGCCCGCGTGGCTCAGCAGTTGAGCGTTGACCTATGAACTAGGAGGTCCGGCTCGATTCCCGGTGAGGGCACACGTGCAGATCGATGATTCTCGCTCATCACTGATGTTCCCATCTCTCTCTCTCTCTCTCTCTCAAATCAATACATTTACTCAGTTAATCAATAAAAACAGTCTCAGTGAGGATTTTTTTTTAAAAAGTTATTGTTAGTGCCTAGTAAAATTAGGTTAGAATCCAACCAATGGTGTTATGTGTTAGTTGTGCATAAAGATAATGGCACACATATTTTCAACACACCTTGATTTGTTATTTTCTTAAAATACATTTTTATTGATTTCAAAGAGAGGAAGGGAGAGAGAGAGAGAGAAATATCAGCGATGAGAGAGATTCATTGATTGGTTGCTTCCTGCACGCCCCCCACTGGGGATCGAGCCCCGCAACCCGGGCACGTGCCCTTGAGCAGAACCGAACCCCGGGCCCTTCAGTCCGCAGGCAGATGCTCTATCCACTCAGCCAAACCGGCTAGGGCTGTTGAAGTTGTTTTTTTAACAGAACCCGGTCTCCACCTTTGTCAGGTTAGTCCTTGTCTGGTGTCATCGTGTTGTTTTATCCCCTCCCTGTCTCATTGGCTTTCTGCCAGCATCGCCCTGGCTCCGGTTTCTCCTGTCCCTACATCCCCCTCTTTGTTTTCCTTTTTTTTGGTCTCCATTCCCAGCGCCTAGTACAGCGGTTCTCAACCTGTGGGTCTCGACCCCTTTGGCGGTTGAACGACCCTTTCACAGGGGTCACCTAAGACCGTCCTGCATATCAGATATTGACATGACGATTCATCACAGTAATGACATTACAGTTATGAAGTAGCAACGAAAATAATTTTATGGTTGGGTCACCACATGAGGAACTGTATTTAAAGGGCCAGAAGGTTGAGAACCACTGGCCTAGTAGGTGAAAAAATGAATATTGGAAGAACAGACCTTCACGGTCAAACGTCTTAATCTCTGGGCTGGCAGCAACTACCCCTGAGTGTCCCCCGAAATTTGTTTACAGCAGACAGACAGTGGGGATGGTTGTGGGGGTTTTTTCTTTGGATGAAGAGAAAGGCAGAACATTCTAGAACACCATCTGTCAGCCTCCTTAGATGTTCCCCCTCCTCACCAGGAAGGGGAATGTTAGGAACCGCCTCCAGACTTTGACCCCTGACCTTGACTGAGGCTGGGGGGGAGAGCTATGGGAGGAGCCGGCCTTCTGTAATCCTCCCAGGTCAGGAAGTCCACCTGGTTACCTGCCCGCAGTCCCTACAGCTGCGCCAGGCACTCGGGCCAGGTTGGGGGGGGGGGTGACGAGAGGGAGGGTGTCCTTGGCAGGCAGAACGGAAAGAAGCCCCAACTTTGAATGAGGAACCGGCCTCCAGGTCGCTCAGAAAAGTGGGG